CCGGCCCCCCAGGCCCCCCGAATGCAATGTTCTTGATATCGACCCTCCTTTTGCAGCCTAAATCATACATATCAACTGCAATCCGGTTTACAATTCTGTTTTTTTACCCAAACTGCCCCTTTTTACCAGGGCACGCGACTATCCTGCCAGTGGCGAGATTCATATGTTCGGTAACCCTGTCACGAGCGTCTACTACCACATCAGTGTCGCGGGCGTAGTCCGCGGCAGAGGTGCAGGCCGCGTCGGAGCAGTCCGAGTCAAATCCTGAAGGAGCAACCTCGGCGGGGCCCACTGCCTTGGCAAGGACCTCGTCAGCAGCCGCCTCATCACCTTCTGGCTGGTTGGCACCGTCTTGTTTGGACGAAGCGGGTTGCCCCGCCCGACACTCACGATCGACTGCCTTCAGGTCGTGATTTGGAGCACGGTTATCCCAGATCTCTTCGGTGCGAAACCTTTCCTTTCATGCTCACCAACTGGTTGGTAGTCATCTTCCGTCAACTGCTCTTCAGGTGGATGATTGGTCGGATCTACAGCGTGGCCCCGACCATCGCCGCGGGGCCAGACCCATGGTGCCCTTTTGAAGTTACGGCTTCTTGACGGACGCCTTATCGGGCAGCCGGGTCTGCGGTCGGCATAATAATTGCAAATGCAGACAAAAACCCGGCATTCCTTCCGGTCATTGATGATGGCCTTCTTGAGGTCCCGTTTCCACGGGGTCTCCTGCGTCTTGGTGCGCGTACCTCTGTTGGGGCGGGCGATCTTGCCTCTATCATCCCGCTCAATGTTGCAAGGCGAATACCAGTGGCGAATGTCGTGATCGGCCCAGCCTTGGTCGAGCCCCATATTGCATTGTATTGGGAAGTGTATACTGGCGCGCTAGTCCGCGATCATCATAGTTGACGACGCATTTGCGCGCCTCCTGCCTGGGACGCGGCTGGACGGTCTTCCCTCTGAGGCGGGTTTCCCCGCGGGCGCCCCTTCCTCGGCGGGGCCCCAGGTGCGTCGCCCCTCCCTGGCGGTGCCCACGGGGCCCTCGCATCAGGAGGGCGAGGGCGCTGATTGCCGCTGGGGGGGGGGGGGGGGGCACCGCTAGAGCGCGCGCGCGAGTGCCCGCGCGAGTAGCTGCAGACGCGACCGCGACGCTGCATGCGCTGGTCCTCAGCTCCCCACTCATCTTCATCGACATCTGAGCGATTCGCCCGCCCCCAGAATTGGCGGCTAGTTGATCGCTCCTGGCGGCTCGGAGACCGCCTCATAGCCGCGAACGTAAAATGCTGATCTTCATTATGTCCAAGCGCGCACTGGATGCGCTCTGAAAGGTCGCCAGCATCTCGCGGGTTCCCCCGCAAAGGATCATCGCCATATGAATCCACGTTCGTCGGATTGCCAATGGCCCGAGGATGAGGCATCATCTGCATTTCCTCTCCCGTCGCTGGAATTGTAGCTTCAGAATCCGCAGGTGCCTCCGCCATATCTTGATCTACTTCAGCGGGTATATGTAAACCCTCAAAACAAATTCGACATGCGCAGGTTGCCCCGCGATGGGCATGCCTAACCTGTCTGCCAGGTTGAGCTCATCATGGCCAACGTGCATCTCCTCGAAGAGCTCGTCGGAGTAATTCTCGAAGGACATACTGGCACTTAGATATCTGGCAGCCATGCAGTTTTGACAGCTGCAACTGGATTGTGGGCAGGGTCGGCCAGTAACGCCTCCCAATCGACACACTGTATGTCCGAATCGGTTTGAGCCAGATGCATCGACGGATCTCTGCCCCCCCCCCCCCCCCCCCCCCCCATCGCGTCGGGGCATCCACGGCAAAAAATGTTGCGTGCTATCGCAGATGTCACATTCAATTTGTTTTCCGTTGGCGTCTGTCGGGTTGCCCCAACGTCCCTCGCCCTTTCAGGAAGCGCGCCTGCCACCCCTGCCTGCACCCAGGAATAGTTCTTAATAGTGTGGTCCAGTAAGGTATTCCACCAAAGCTAACATACCTCTGCCATGCAATCGCCGTCGTTTGCCCATACCCTCGCCTCGACCCTTGCCCTTCCCCTTAGTGCCCGTCGGATAATGCGTCGCACCTTGCGAATTGGCTTCTTCATAAACCGTCTCCACCTGCGTGCATGCTTCTGAGATCCTGGAAACAGCCATTGGGCCTGTTGTTCTTCCGTAAGATACGTGGGCATGTCGGAGTAGTCTAAGGCATTCGTTTCGTCGTCTGCTGACGCGTCGGCGTCGGTTGAAGAGTCGATGGCGGACTCAGCGGGCTGCCCCGTTGAGCCTACAAGGGTAATGGCTTGCGCGGGGGCCGCCGTTGCCAGCGGTTCCTGATATCTGGCCCAGGAGTCTTGCGACCTGTAGCCGGACCACCACTTTTAGTAAATAGCGTGGTGGTATCCGTTGGTTACGGATCGTCATCCCAGACGTTTGTAGCAGGGTGCCCTGCATTGGCTTCAGCGTGACAGGTTTCGGCGCGGTGACCGCGGCTGAAGACACCACCAGTGTTGCCAGGGGTTCGCTCAGCGATGTGGGCACATGACCTCGCGCGTTCAAGCAGAGAGTCAAATTGCTGCTGATTCCGCGGCATTTGGTGGTTCAGTGGCTGTAGCAGTTGTTGTGCACGCGACGCCCCCACTCCTGAAGCTCTGAACAGAATAGCCGTGAAGATTTGGAAGTTGGGGGTGTTGAAGCCTGCCGCTTCAGCCACATAGCGGGCGATCTCGAAGCGCGCCAATGTCCGGTCGATCCGTTCTCCCGCGTGGACTCGGAAGTCTATGAGAACAGTACCCGGGTTAAGTTGGCGTTCCTCCTCTAAGTTTTCAAACTTCGTGCTAAGGGGGAACATAATTTAGGTGGCACCATCAGTACGGCGGCCACCTATGTTGACGCCAAGATTAGTCACTGCTGGGGGACCTCTCATGGCGATGGTCCCCGCGGAGCCTCCCAGACCACGCTGCAATGCTGCAGCTTGATTGGAGGGCGTCAATTCGCCTGTGGTCACGATGATCCAGGCATGTACCTCTCGAACAAATTCGCGGAAAAAGGTACTTGACCAGACGGGTCCCAGCGGGGGCTGGTTGTTCTTGCGTCGTCTCCGCCACGCATGTGTCCAACAGCACACCCGATAGCAACCCATATGAGACCAAAGATAGTGGCACCAACCCAGTGGCCCCGTAGGTCGTCGTCGGATGTTGTTGGCTGAGGTTTGTGGTGTTTTGTTGTAAGCCTGAGTTGGGGTGGGGGCGGCACAATATCGCATCGCCTGGTGCCATGCGTGGTATCTTCTAAGAAATTTCCAGTCGGAATAAGTGGGTGGACTTCAGGACTGTAGTAGCGCAGGGATGTAGGACTCGAGTAAGAGGCCCCTGCGAGAGCAGAAGTAGTACTGCAAGTGTCCTTGCGGTTGTGCGTAGTTCTGTACATTCCTCCGCGCAGACCCACTGCACCCGGATGTTCCCCAATGTCAGTAGTCCACCAAATAGTGCCGTGGATGGTGAGGAATAGAGCGAGGACTGACCACCATAGGCCAGTTCCGCTACCAAGTTTGAAGGGGGCCGATAACCCCGTCCAGAAGCTTCGCCTTAGGCGAAGCGCAGCTCCGGCTCTGTTGTGTCGCAGCAACGATAGTCCCAGTCGGAGGAGATCGTCGCGGGAACGACGGGCCATCTCAAGTGAAGGATGTTTTCGGTTTCGATGGAAAGTAGTATGCCTCGCAATGAGGCGCAATCATATGTTGGCGGCCGGCCGCTTGAACACAAACGGCCGCGGACAAACGCCCGCTATCTCTCGACCTTGTCCCAGCTCACTTTAGAGTCACCCGTGTGGCTCCAAAGATAGCAACCTTGAGATAAAGTATGGTCCTGTTGTATCTGAGAATGTCAGATTTCGTATCGGTGGTGATTGTCGCGTCGGTAGGGTTGCGACTGGGTGTCTGGTCTGACGTGGCCGTCAGTTTGCGGATGGGTATAAGTACTTGGCTCGAACGTGGCGTGTGGCCACGCGGTGGGGCGATGGTGGTAGAGGACTGAAGGTTACAAATTGGTTGAAGAGCACTGGGAGTGTAGAGGTTGATAGCCGGCGAGTCTTCCACTGTGGCGAAGTAAGTTGTTATGTACACCACACCTGATATAAGAGCCAGAGATGAAGCCAGCACCGCTACGCATCGCAAAATAAGGGTTGAGGGTTTGAACACAAAGTAATAAGCTGAGAACCCTAATCTTAGGATAACGCCGGCGACGCATCGAAGTATCCCACAACTCATCTCATGGCCAGCAAGTCGAGAGGTGAGAGATAAGCCATGCGATGGAAAGGGGGATCATTGGTAGACGTGGCCTTCGCCTGATGCAATGATCCAATAATGTACCACTGTCGTGTGACAAACAAATAGGGCTGCGCAACCTTGAGCCAAGATTGCGGCAGATATAGCTTTCGCTAGACAGCCCCACTAAAAACCTCGTCTAAAATCACCAGACATGGGTAATAACCAACAAGACAGAACATAGCTATGTGAATTCCGAGACTATTCGGATTCTGGTCGCATCAGGAAAAGCTTCAGACAGCCCCGGGAAGGACCCAAGGCAGCCCAAGAGGGGCCCCAGTCGGCCACAGGGCGGCCTATAGACTGCGCGAGAACCCTCGAAGACGGCCCAAGACGGCCCAGGTGAGCTGCCGTCGAGAGCCTCGAGACCCGCCCAGGCGCCTTCAAGATGGTCCAACTGAGCCTCTTCGGGGAAAGCTCTGCACAAACACCGTTCTCAAGAGACAGGCCCGAGACCCTCGACGGGACCCCAACGGGCCTCCACGAGCGCCCCGGGGGTACCCCGAGAATCCCCCCAAAGACACCCCAAAAGTCCTCAATGAGCCCACTCAAGGAGGGGCGATGGAAGGCCGAGGATGAAGAGGGGTGAGGCTCACGAGGCTACGGACAAGGAGGACCCGCGCCAGCTCTGTGAGGGCACAGAACTGGATCGGGTCCGACACTGTATCTTTTATCCCAGCCGACACGGTGGCGGGGCTTGCCGCAGGCAGCCGGATAAAAGGTCAAGTTCTGCGACCCGCAGAACTTCTCGTAGGCGTCCCTCCTGCGCTCGCACGCGCCGTAGCTCAGCCCGCCCCGCTTGTCCATGTTAGAAGAACAACAACAGCATACACATATACGCTTGGCTGTCCGCGCGGATATCTTGGATCTGAGCTGGACCGCCCTCTGGCGCGCGGAAAGCGCCAGGGGCGGCGCTGGAGGCGCCGCCAGGAGGTCCCAGCGCAGATCCAAGAAATCCGTGCGGACCGCCAAGAGTCTATGTTTATGCTGTTTTTTTTTATGTTCTTCGACATGTACCAGGTTGCTTTGAACGCCCGGCGAGGGTGATTTGGGCAGCCGGCGTGCATCCAGAGCATGCAGCCAGGCTTCGAGGGGTACGCACGGGGCCCATCCTTCGAGGGGTCAGTCGGCCCGCCAGCATCCAGCAAGACGGCCTTCTCTCGCGCTTTCGGCGCCGCCGCCGCGTCCACAGCGGCCGACGCGCTCGAAATGTCGGCGTGATTCTCGTCAGGGTTGTCTCGGACGTCGACGGGCTGTTGACGATTACTCTCCCCCTGCTCCGTGGCGGTGAAACTTTCCATGATAGTCGAGCTCTCCGCCGCACCCGCAGCAGTCGAACCATTCGACGAATGCTTATCCCCCCGCTCTGTAGACGTAGTGGCGGAGCTACTCTCCGCATGGCCCGTGGCGGTCGAGCTCTCAGTGGGGGCCGAGCTGTGTGCCGCATCTGTACTGGTCGAGCTGTCCGCGACCCTCTCTGTGTGTCGCACCTGCACTGGTCCAGCCGTCTGGGCCTCCATCGCGTCCACCCAAGCGGCAAAGTTACGCGACGCATCCTTGTGTGGCCGCCCTGCGGCAGCCGAGCCCGCGGCGCCATCGGCAACCGCCCCTTCTGGGCTGGGCCTCATCGTGACCTCCGTCGTCGTGGTCGCCCGGTCTTCGGCGGCCTCGTGCCCCACCAGCGCAGAGGACGTCGTCGCCTCGGCATCGGCGGCCGTCGCGTCGTGGTCGTCCGTCGTCCTCGTCGACGCTTCATCGGCGGCGGTGTCCAGCTTGGTGACGTGGTCCGCTGCTCTCGCCTTCGCCCGTGATGGGCAAGGCATCCCGCAGGTCGCCGCGCCGTACTTGTGGAAATGTGCCTGGAAGTCCGAGAAGGGCGAGTCCTTGGTGAGGCCCGGGTACCGCTCGGGGTGCTCGACGATGGCCTTCGTCTGGGCCCGAACGACCGCGCGGTAGCACCAGTCGCCGACGACCGCATCCCGACACTCGTCGCCCTTGCGCACCCTCTCTCCCTCACGTTTCGGCTCGCTCGGCTCTTCCGAGACACTGCGTGCCTCCCCCATGTCGGCGAGGCCCGTCTTCTCCGCCACCCTGGTCGTCGCGGTTGCTGCGATATGCGTCGCCTCTGTGGTGTTGACGAAGTCCGCCTCCTTGGGGATGTGTGCACTGTACGGCTGCGTCGCCCCAGTGGCCGCGGCGATCGCTGCCTCGTCCGCCTTGGCCAGCTCTTCGGCTGTCACTGTCCAAAGGCGAGACGTGTCAATGCCCGGCTCATTGAGCACTGCGCTGACCTCGCCCTGGACGAAGTCCGTCGACCCCCGCTTCCCGAGGGTGAGCTGGAGCGCGAGGTCATTGACTCCCCCCTCCCGACGCTCCCCTGGCGTCGCCCCTCGCGCCACATGGGGCGTGGTGCAGGACCAAGGCAACTGTTTGGCCCAAGTCGCGACCCGCGATGCGCCGTCCTCTCACCACTGGGGGTGACATGCGTAGGTGCCCCTCTCCTTCGGGTGCTCTCAATCTTCCCAAGTCCTGCTTGTGGGTCCCTGCGAGCTCCCCAGCTCACCTGCTAAACCCCAAGAGGCCTCCTGAATTGCATGCCGAAAATGCCTCCCCCCACCCCCTCCCTAAAGGGCACAAGATGGCCCCAACGTGACCCAGGACAGCCCAAGACTACAGTAGAGACTGCTCAGTATAGGCCAAGGTGGCTCCATAGTGGCACCAGCTGGCTCCAAGATGGCGCCACGATAGCCCGCGAGCCTCCCAATGAAGCCCCAGAACACCGAAAAAACGTAACAAGCAAAGTGTGTCGCAATAGTTTGGCGATATCCCCTTTGCCTCCCTTTCCGCGGGAAGGCGGCCCCGAGGTGGCCCTCAAGAAGATCCCGACAGGCCTTCAGGAGACCGCCAATCGAGAGGGCACTGCAAAAGCCGCGAGAATTGCCCAAAAATCGCTGAGCACGTCAGTTTAGTGTATGGTTCTGCCGCTTGGCACATTTTAGTTGTCCTTGTTGTGTTTGTTGATTCCACGGCCGCCCCCCCAGTTTTACTACCTGGCATCATGTTCGGACTCCAGGCGGCTCCATGACGGCCCAAGGCCGCATCAAAACAGCTGCAAGATGCCCGATGACCAGCCCAAGCCAGCCCACCGACCCCCCAGAGGATCCAGGATTCCCTAAGATGCACCAAGAGGTCCAAAGAAGCCGCCAAAAGACTCCCAAAGAGGTCTGCAGCAAGGCCCAAAAATGCCAAAACTATGATAACTGGGTGAGCATGCTTCTTGGTGTCCGACAGTCATCGGGCCCCAGGTCACCTCTCCAGAGCTGCAGAGACCTCGAGGAAGTCCACACGACGCTCCAAGACAGGCCCCTAGGACGGCCCTAGCCCGGGAACCCCACAAGGACGGCCCAAGATCCCCCCGAGACGGCCTCAAGGCGGCCCCAGGGACCCGCCCTGACGCCCCCGAGATCGCTCTTTTGAGCCTCTTCGGTGGAGAGATCAATAGCAACGCCGCGTCCACGACGGGCCCGAGACTCCCGACGGTCCACGAGGGTTCCACGCCCGGCGCCCTGGGAAGCCCCAATAGGGCTCCAGGAGGCCCATAGAAGCTTCAAAGATGCTCTCAGGGAGCGGGAAGGGAGGAGCGGAAGGGAGGAAGAGTACGATGATGGACAAGGGAAGTGGAGTGGAGGATGACGAGGCTGTGGACGAGGAGGGGCGATCAGGACTCGCGCCAGTTCGGACAAATCCATGGACCCGAGCGGGTCTTCAACTGACCTCCTTCCTGCAACGCTGCAGCTGGTTCGTTCTCCTCCTCCGCCTCCTCCGTTACCTTCCATGGGGCACCCGCGCAGCCCGGGATCTCGTCACGAGCCCACCTCTCTGGGGGGTCGGCGGGACGGCGAAACACCTCGGGTATAAAAGGACGTCTTGCTATGGCCGCAGAAGGTGTCCATGCGGCCCTTCGCCGATTCGCACTGGTGGAAATCTGTGGCGGCGATCACGCGGTGCCATACCACTGTGGAGATGGGGTGCAACGGGCACCCGTGGTGCAGGCGGAGGTAGCAGCCAGCTGCCTTGGGAGAGGGAACGTGCACCCTCGTGGGAGCGCGCCCCGTCGGGGGCTCTGCGTTCGCAGCGGCGGCGGCCCTCTCCCTGGCCTCGCGCTCGGCCTTCCTCTGGGCGTTCCGCTCCGCCCGCTTGGCCTCGCGCTCCCTCTTGGCCTCCTCCCTGGCCTCGCGCTCGGCCTTCCGATCCGCTGAACCGGCCTTGAGCGTCCCGTGGGCCTCAACCTCGGCCTTCCCCTCGGCCTCCAGCACAACCTTCTCCTTGGCCTCAACCTCGGCCCTCTCCGTGGACTGCTCAACCATTTGGCTGGAATCGCGCTCGGGTTTGACGACGTCGGCCTCGGCCTCCTGGTGTGACTGGAGAGCGTTCGTCTGGACTACCGACACGGCCTTCCTCTTGGCCTCAAACTCGGCCAGTTGTGCGCGCTCGGCAGCCTCCTCAGCAACCTCCTGGGCGTTAAGATCGGCCTCCTCTGGTGCGTGCGAACCCACGCCATCGATGGCAACATGCACATTATCGGTTGCGGTCGCCCTCTCCCTGGCCTCGCGCTCGGCCTTCCTCTGGGCGTTCCGCTCCGCCCGCTTGGCCTCGCGCTCCCTCTTGGCCTCATCCCTGGCCTCGCGCTCGGCCTTCCGATCCGTTGAACCGGCCTTGAGCGTCTCGTGGGCCCCAACCTCGGCCTTCTCCTGGGCCTCCAGCTCGACCTTCTCCGTGGCCTCAACACTGGCCCTCTCTGTGGACTGGTCGGCATCTCTCTCTCTGCTGGACTTCTGCGGCTCGACCTCGGTCGCCTGCTGCACCTGGACAGCGCTCATCTGGAGCGCTGGCGCGGCCTCGAAGTCGTCGATGTCCACCGTGTGCACCACCTGCCCCTCGCGCTGCTGCTGATAGGACGCCGTGCGCGCCCGCGTGTCTGCAGCCCTGGCCCGGAGCTTGCCCAAGGAGCGCGCTGGGGCCGCCGAAGGCGCCTCCTCGGCCTCCTCGGCCTCGTCGGCCTCATCGAAGTCCTCGGCCGTCGCGCCCGCCACCGGAGTCGGCGCCAGCAGCGGCAACGAGTCTGGGCCGGCCGGGTCATCCAGGCGGAAGGGCACCTGGAGGAGCGACGCCTCTGATGGGCCGATGTTCCACCACCACTACCATAGGCACGACGGGGGAGAAGGGAGGATGGGGTGCTCCTCCTCCTCCTCCTCCTCCTCCTCCTCCTCCTCCTCCTCCTTCTCCCTCCTCCTCCTCCTCCTCCTCCTCCTCCCCCTCCTCCTCCTCTCCTCCTCCTCCTCCTCCTCCTCCTCCTCCTCCTCCTCCTCGGTCGGTCGGTCGGTCGATCTAAAGGCCGTTAAAATTTGTAGCCTACTCAAATCCTCCTCCTCCTCCTCCTCCTCCTCCTCCTCCTCCTCCTCCTCCTCCTCCTCATCCCCCTCCTACCTATGTTCGTGGTGGTGGACAAAAATCGGCCCATCAGCCTCATAGGCCCCGACGGAGCTGCCCGGCCCAGACGGCACGAAGAGCATCCTCGTCCCAGGCACACCGCACCAGGCGTCGAGCTCCTGCCTGCGCTCGACCTTCGGGGGTGGACACGGGGCCGCCCCTGGCCAAAAGCACCCGTCCGCGTAACTGCTCCGATGCACACCACGCAACGCGTAGCGTATTGATACGGAGCTCAACACGTAGACTGAAACGTGGGTCTGACGCGATACCTTCGCCATAACGTGGGCCAATACGTTGAACCAACACGCAAAGCATGGACACGGACGGTTTGAGCACGGTAAGTGTTGCGTTTCAAAACGGGCGTATCGAGGCAGCTAAGGGGGCCGCCCCTGGCCAAAAGCACCCGTCCGTGAGAGCGCCCCAGGGGTTGGACCCCGCGGGCGCGGGCCCACGGGAGTCGGCGGCGAGCGGGGGGGGGAAGGGAGAAGAAGAAGGCCTGCTCAGAGGGCGGCGGGGCTTCTCGAAGCCGCCGGGCCTTCTGACAAGTTGTTAGTGTCTTCGGGGAAGACCCAGAAAGCTTCTCAGAAAGCCGCGGGACTTCCGAGCCTCCTGAGAAGGCACGCCCCTCCTCACTTCCCCATCCAAGATCGCCCCCGAATGGACCCCAAAGACCTCGCACTTGATGCGATCGCGCCACTCTGCCTTATCGTCACGCCTCCAGGGCAAGGTGTGCATCGTCCGGCTCCACGAGGTCAGGTACGCGCTGCCAACCTCGGGCAGGAGCGGCCGGCATCGAGCCGGGACATCGGCTCGGCTCGGAGCGCGCATCGAAGCAAGACGCACCGACACAAGGTCGGAATCGAATCGGGTCGGCCGCGCCGGAATGCACCGCAGCGCCCGTGCGAGCAGTGGGCCGCACCGGATCGCCAGAACATCGGAAGCAAATCGGCTCGGGCCAGCCAGAATCGATGTAGGATCGAATCGATCGGGTCAGGAATGGACCCAGCAGCTGCGACAATATCCATCACTGCTTTTCGACTCAATGCTCGGGTATCTGGCGCCCGTTCGTTGGGGAAGATCTGGGCACCCCTGGAACGCTCTCTGCGAGGCGCAGTTGCTGGAATGAACCCCGACGCAACCGTCGAAAGCGTCCGAAAACCTTGCCGAACCGGTGTTGGGAGGAAGCTCGAGAACGGGTCGGATCGAAATGTGGGAGGACACCGAAGATACACAGACGCCCATCCTGCCCCGGCTCGTCCTGGGCACAGGATCGGTGCTGACGCCATCCTGGCCTGGACAGGGAGGTACAGCATTCGCCGATCCTGGGCCCCAGCAAAGGTCCGTATCCGCGGCCTCGCGGGCCGGGCTCCTGAGGGCCGCGACCCCGCGAATACGGGGCGTTTTTCCGCAGATGCCCCGCGCGGAACGTCTCCGCGCGACCGCGCATCTTACCAGCCTGGAACATATCCCTATCCTTATGCTGGGCATCTCCTGATCACGATGCCAATCTTAGGGATTCCCTTATTTTTTGAGGGCGGGATCCCTAAGTTTGTCATCGCCTTTTGGCGTGTCAATCTTAGGGATAGGGATACGTTCGAGGCTGGTAAGCATCCGCAGGATCGCGCACCGAAACCCATGCCGCCAGGGCGAGGATACGGACGTGTTCGCCGCGCGTGAACCGCCTCTGGGCGATCTGGGCATCCGAGCGGCATCCACACGTAGCAGCCCGGCTCCGACGGGGCCGCGGGCTCCACTGGCGATGGCAGCGCCGCCGCCCCCGGCTGCACGAGGTGCCCGTCGTCTACGGCGTCGACTGCCGAACCGCCTCCTGGGCCCCTCCTGCTCCTTCCACTCCTCCTCCTCCTCCTCCCTCCTCCCTCCTCCCTTCTCCCTCCAGCTGCCGTCCCGGGTCGAGGCTTTGGGTGCAGCGCCCGCGGTACCAGGTACCGCCGCGCGCTGCGAACCTCACCCGCGGACAGCCGCCATACGCGCCGGCCGCCGCGCCCGCCTGGCGCGCTGCGAGCCAGCCGTGCCGCGGGCTCTCGCGAGGGCGACACGCCTCGCGGACGCCGGCGCGGAAGACCCGACCCAGCCTGGCACCGTCATGCCCGCTGACTGCGTGGACATGCGAGGACGCTTCTCCGCGTCGCTCGTGCCCGCGCGAGGCTTGCGCTGACAGAGCAGCGCCGTGTCCAGGACGCCACCGACAGCCTCGCCGCGCACCACAGCACGGGCATCATGAAAGGATCAGGCGGAGGCAAGGGAGCGGGCCCACCAGGCGGACGTGCTGGCGGCGCCGGAGGCAAAGGTCGTGCCTCAGGCTCGGGCGGTGGAGCCCCGCCGCCATGGCATGTCCCGCCCCCACCGCCAGGATGGTGGCGCCCCTCCTGCGGTGAGCTCAATTCGCCAGCCGATAACCTGTGCCATCCGTGCTGCCCGTTGCCAGCGCACGGACCCAGGCATGGAGCTGGGAGCGCAAGCCATGGTGACGGTCGTCCTCCACGCCATAAGCGAACGGAGGACGACGGTCGTCCTCCACGCCATAGGCGAACGGAGGACGACACTCCACGCCATAGGCGAACGGAGAGTCACGGCCGTCCGCGCTCCAGCTCCCGCCGACGACGCCGCCGACAGTCCAGCAGCGGAAGTGGCAGTACGACGCAGCCGAGGTCCGCATCGCGAGTGCGATTTGAGGACGAGCCAGAGCCTGAATCTGCAGAAGGTCGGAGGCGAGGAAAAGCAACGGATGAGTCCGAGGCCGAGGACGAGGTCCGCAGCCCAGCGCTTGGCATCTTGCCAGCGCTTCCGCAGGACGCACAAGCACATGCGTCATGGGTTGACCCGTCCAGCGACGAACGCGAGATGGCCGCGCATCGGCGCTCGCTTCGCCAGATGGCAGCCGCCACAGGCAACAGGCTGCTCGCTGCACGCAACCTCGGCATGACCGACGAGCAGAGGAGGCCACAGGAGGAGGAGTACGCCGTGCAGCTCTGCATGATACTGATGGCACGCTCGCCTCGCGTCAGCTGTGATCGCCAGAGGTCATTCGTGAAGCGAGCTCAACTTAAGCTCGAGAAGGCGCAGACCGAGGCGGAGCAGGCCAAGAATATCATGGAGGAGAAGGAGGCGAAGGTGCAGCAGCGGGAGGCGGCCCTCTGCAGGGCCAAGGTGCTGCTGGACCAGCTCGAGGAGCTCGTGCCGACGACGGGCCACGCCACGGACGTCGACGCCGACGAGGACGAGATCATGCCGCCAGCGGGGCCGACCCCGCCAGCTGGCTCGCCAGCCCCTGGCACCCCGCCCGACATGGCCCCGCCCGTTGCGGCCATTGCGGAGCTACAGGCTGGTCAGGCACAGCTCACGAGACAGCTGGTCGGCCTCACGCAGCTGCTGACGACGATGCAGAGCCAGATGACCGCGGCGCGAGCAGAGGCATCGGCGGCCCCTGCCCAGCCTGGGCTGGCTGCATTCGCGGGCCAGCCGCAGCGGCTCGGGCCAGCGGGAGGTGCTGCGCAGGCGCCTGGAGCCGCCGCGGCGCCCGCGACGCCGGCAGCCCCTGAGCAGGTGCCCGCGGCCCCAGCGGCGGCCATGCCTGGCGATGCCGTGGCGCCGCCACGTGCGAGAGCAGGCGACGCCGCCACGCCGCCTGTCGGCGCGGCCGCCGCCGGCGCAGCGCCCGAGGCAGCCAGCGACGGGCAGGCGGGGGCGATGGCGGCAGGAGGAGGCAGGCCTACGCACCCGACGCCTGAGGAGCTGAGGGCCCGCGCGGCAGCGGCTCGACAGGCCAAGCGTGAGGCCGACCGAGCCCGCAGGCCCACGGGGCAGCAGGGCTTGCGTGATGCCATTGCGCGGCAAGACACAGCAAGTCACCGAGGACGAGGAGCGGTCCCTCCAGCGCCTGCAGGACGAGAAGAGATCGCAGCCGAAGCAGGGGCGACGGAGGCGGCCGACGCTGCGGCCCGCCGACAGCGGCATAGCCGCAGCCACAGCCCGCGCCGCGGCGCGGACGGCGAGTTCGTGGTCGTCGGCAGCGATGGCAACTCCGATGCGTCGACGCTGGGGTGATGCGGCCTGTCGGGCAGGCCACGGGGAGTGAGATGCATGAGCCTAGCATGCCATCTCAAGGCCTGCCCGAGATAGCCGACGTGCATGCCGAGACGCCCGCACAGCAGCGACAGATGGAGTCTGAGCTGTCTCAACCGCTGTGCCCAATACCCGACTGCAGCGAGCTAATCAGGCAAATCTGTCAGCCCTGGCCAGCTAGCGCTGCATATCTCACCCCCGTCTTCCTCGGCTCATCTCAAGAGCCCGAGTATTGCTTATTTCAACCATAGTTACACAGTAATACACGCCAGTTTTTTGAAACTCACAGAGATAGATCCCCCCAATCAGAGGATCAGGTGTCCAGGTTGGAAATTTACACTGATGGATCCGGAGGGTCCAAACAACGACTGCTGGTCAGTTACGACATCGGGGCGATACATATATGAGGGGTATCTATGTGGAACCGACCCGTCTTTCTCCGATTCCGTAAAGAGCCCGTCGGGCGCAGCTGAATTTCAAGCAGCTCTTTGGCTTGTGCTATGGTTATTGCAAGCTGAACAAAGGTGTCGTGATCTCCCGATAGAGGTTTTCACCGACAACATACTCGTCGTTGCTACGGCCGCAGGCGGCACACGGTACGGATATTGTGGAGAGTTTCCTCGGACTTTTGACGGTACCTTGAAGCTGCTACGGCAGAATACCCGCCTTGTTTGGAGACACGTCCTGGGACACAACGCCAATCCACTGAACGAGCTTGCAGATACCATAGCACGACTTGCATCTATGGGGATTGCGCCGACAGTTGCAGACGACTTTCAACCGTGGTCAGTATTGCTAGATGCTGCCTCGCATGTGCCTTGGTTATGGTTGTCTGCCAGCACCAACGACGGTCATGGGGTATACACGAATGTTGGTGCACGTGAAATGCCGCCTCTCTACCCACCCAATTTCGACTTGCGTAAAGCTTTCATGTCACCTGCTGGGCGCAGCTCGGAAAGCTCGTGTGTGCCACGAGACTTGCATCCGTCAGGTTCGCCACCTCAGGTCAGTATTGCTGTGGCAAATGTGCTGACGCTCCGGCCCCGCAGGAAGGCGGCGCGAAAGCGCGGCACCAGGATTCGTTGTCGTTGCCAAGATGCCACCGGCCTCAACCTGCCTGGCCGCATGCTCGCTCTTGCTCATCAGTTCTCGTCTCGCAACTTCCATTTGGTTGGTACGCTGGAGACTCGATTGTGTCGGAACGGTTGGACGCCAGCAGGAGACTATGCATTTATCACGGCAGCGTCAGAATCGAAGGGCACAGGTGGAGCAGCACTGTGGATCAACACACAGCACGAGTACGCGCATGGTCACAAGCTTGCACGACGGCATGTACGTGTGACTAGCTATTCGCCTAGACATCTGTTGGTGGCTATCCGTGCGCCGCGCATGTGCATTGACGCGCTGGTAGGACATGCCCCTCACTCTCGACGCCCGCCTGCAGAGATACAAGGTTGGTGGGAGCAAGCTGCAAGACATGAAGGAGGAAGAGGAGGAGCATCGTGAGTCGTTGAGGGCTTTCTTTGTAGAATGGGACCCCTACCTCGGGACCGGCGAGTCTTGGGCGCCCGATTTTGTTGCATCACGTTCTGGTCGGACCCGTGCAGACCCAGAGCGTGACAGATTGTTTCCGCCCGAGCCCAGGCCAGGTTCGTCCATGCCCGAGCCTGGGACAGGAATGGTGTTTGATCCAGTTTCCGCACCTCGGGCTCCTGGGCCACAGGAGGCCGACGAGGAACACAAGAGTATGTTGAAGCGTTTGCTTTCTTAGAGGGCACAAGAGTGCCCCAGCATGAAGATGAGGAGCCGCCGCGCGATCCTCCCCCCAACTCTTTTGCCCCTCCCCCTCCGCCTCAGCCAGTCGAACTAAGTGACGAGCTTCGAGCTCGGATCGCAGCTAACCGTGCGCAAGCAAGAATGCGCAGGAAGCTCAGACATGCTCAGAGAGTCGCACCCTGGACGTTCCAGCCTAACTTTGGAGAAGGGCTGTTCGATTAAGTGCAAGACTAGATCAGTGGAGGAGTCGGAGGAGGTAGGAGTTCTAGGTGGTCGGAGGAGTTTACAGCTAGCCACGTCTTGCAGAAAGTTCGGTCAGGCATCTCTGTCAGCCCTGACCACTCAGAAGCAGAGTTTCCAGACAGAGTGTATACAATTGTAAATGACAGCAGCAGTCTCGCGCAGCTGTCGCCAGCTCGAGTTCAGCCATGTCGGCCGAACCGAGGGTCGATCCATAAGGGGAGGGGGCCATAGTGGGCGCTCCGAAAGGAACTCGCGAAGCCCCCTCCGCACAACGGCTCTCGCCGAGGTAAAGTTGATGGATGCAGGTGCTCACTTTGAGAGCCACCAGCGGTCGTTGAGATCGCGATGAGCAGTCGGGGGAGGATCTGGACGGGTAGGTTGGGCAGTGGGGTTGGGATCAGAGAGACATGTGCCTGCCTCTCTTGCCTTTTTCCGCCCGCCGCCTGCGTGCCACGCCGCCCGCCTGCTCTCTCGACGTCAGCACCTTCGACAGAGGTGCGACCCCCTGTGTTTCAGCTACCGATACGTTGGCACGTTTCCACGCCTCGGCCCGTGGGGGGCAGCGGCAAGGGGCCCGGTGAGCGTAATCCGTCGCTAACCAAACACCCGT